TGAACCATTTTCTCAGCTCTCCATAGGCTCAATCTGAAGTGATCAAGAATTTATCAGAATGCTGAAGCAGGATTCACTTCACAAATAATATGACAGATCCAAGTCTCAAAATCGCGCTCAGGGTATAGCACATGCAAGTAGAACAATAAAAAAACAGTAACTGTCCAAAGAGCAAGGACTAGAGCACGTACGCGAAAATAAATATTGCAGACTCAGGTCAGGGCGGAGGGATCAATACCTGTGCAAAATTGCTGATTCCTACTGTTCCAATGCCATTTTCAACGGATACCCATTCATGCTTGTCTGTGAATTTGCGGGCTAAAATGAAAAAAAACTTGATATTTCAGAAATAAATTTGCGGGCTAAAATGAAAAAAAACTTGATATTTCAGAAATAAGTGACATGTTGCTCGCTTAAATACAGTAACGCATTTGCAGGCTTAAACTGTGGGGGTTTTTAACTGAGGTTAGTTCTGTTTGGTTTTCTTGGAAAATATTTTAAGCAGCACATACAATTTAGAGAAGCATTTTGTTCTGCTGATGACCTGCTTAGTGGCACGGTAGAAGCTCACTGGTGTTCTGCTGAGGGTATTACTATTTCCTGTGCAATCACCTAGAGACTGACAAAGTACTACAAAGTATAACAAAATTAAACTAAAACTGTAACAAAATCGGACTAAATGTCAATTTCCCACATCAGTACGGGAGCAGAAGGAGTAGTTCTACTTCAAACAAAAGTATAAATCTAAAGCATGTATGTGTACTTTACTCATAGTTATGCATTTCTATGACAGCTTAGTGGCTTTTCATTCATATTTAGAGATTGTTTCCGACAACCCCTTTAAGATTCCTGGGAAGGCCAGTATTAATGACCCATTAGAAACAGTTTCAGCATTACAGCATCTCATTCAAAGTACTTGAGCCATCAGTTGAAATAAAAAGGTTGCAACCTAGCTAACACAAAGTACCCGACTGCCTTCCCTCCCCCTAACATTTCCTATAGAGTCTAGTACTCCCTGCTTAATGTTGTCACGGATCTATATAAAATTAAGGCAAATAAATACAGGGCAAATTAATAAGGCGACTCACACAGGCAACTGTTACTGAAGAGAAACTGTTCTCCGTTAATATTGTTACTGTGAGAACAACACAGTAGTTATTCTGCAAAATAAGCACCTTCAAGACCCTGTTAAGTCTTTTCACAGCAATCTTCCAATTCTACATATATTTTAGATCTGTAAGATTCAGGGCAGCTTGTACTTGCTTTTAATAGAAGGAATTCTTTTTATAAAATGATATGGAAAAACTTTTCTTGCTAATGTTTTACCTGAAGAACTTTTCTTACTCTGAGCATTTTCAGCCTGCTTTGTCTCTTTTCTCATTTCCATAGTTTCCCCACAGATACTTTCTCCCCCCACCTTTTTTTAAAAATTTATTTATTTTTAGATTTCACTCGTAGCACCTATCCAATCAGACAAGGGACGTTCCAGAAGCTGGAGCAGGTAACTTCTTAGACTGAGCTCCCCGTGTGATTAGTGCCAGAGTGGTGCAGCTGGACCTTCCTTTTGAGTTCAAATTCTCCTCTCAGGCTGGACTCCTTATACCCACTAGCGAAACTACACTTCTGCAAATCCTTGTATATTTTCTAAACTTGTACATGAAGGAAAACAGAATTTCTCACTGTAGACCTGCAAAAATCTTTCCACTGTACGTCAGTCATATTTTAAGCTGTTTCAATTGTAGCAATCCTCTTATTTATGTCTGAACATGTGTAAGAGAAGCAAGTCTCAGATAAAACGGTTTGTCTGTGAAGATGGCCCAAGTTCTATAGACCTCAGCAGAGCAATACATGTTTTTGCAAGTATGGTACACAAAAAATTTTGAGTAAAATACAAGTAGGAAGTATTTTTTCAGGAATTACCACTCAAAAACCCCAGAGAATTTCAGCTAGCACTATTTATGACTACAAAAATCTCTTCAGACATGTTCTAATGAACAGAAGAAATCGAATGTCTTAAATCATTTCAGGTCAAGGCACTAAACCCATAGAAATTTCATTGGAAATGAGCAGCGAACCATAAGCACGGAGAATGACACAAAGTCTCAAGCCCAAGCTGAACATTTGTGACACTACACATAACAGCCAGCCAGTATCTTCTTATGTAGGATAATATTGTATGAGATCTGTTTATAAAGCAAGGTTAAAAAAAAGCCCAGAAGACTTCTATGATCAGTTTGGAACACAGCAGTAAGATGTTTTCAACAGTCAGAAGAGCGCATAAGCTACTTGTAGACAAAAAAAAAAAAAAAAAAAGTGAAAAATGAAAAATTGTAACCACGTAACAAAAAGCACTGCAAATAAAGGTCAAATTAAAAAGAGTTAATAAATAAACTCAACATTTGAACTTTGACCCTATGCGATCGGCCCATGAAATAAATCATATTAAGTGAATATGAAATATCAAAGCATACCAAATCTCTTCTGTGAGCATTCTTTTTCAGAAGAGCAGCTACATTTACTCTAGCTTCGCTCATTTCGACGTGACTTTAGCTTCAGCTTAACTAGCATATTCTGAATGCCAACCTTCATTTAGTTCACCCTGCCTCTGTTAAATATTTCATAAATATATACCTGAAGAGCGAAGGAAAACTCACACCTCCACAAAGAGGCATACAAAATTTTCCCTCTCTGCCTAAAACAAGAGCATAATTTATGTTATTCCTTCAAGTTACAGCTACAGAAAAACAACGGGCACATTAAACAATTACAACAGTGAAAAAAAGCTCAGATCCTGGCTGGCTGAGTTTGCAGATAATGACTAATAAGTGTTCTTTCTGTCGCTTGCAGCAGCAGGCAGTTACGCAGGCAGGTCAGAAGAAGATCCGGACGGGAGCCGGTGAGCCCTTCCCAGCGGCAGCCTCTGCTTTTGCCGCACGTTCTCCTCCTCTCC